GGGTAGGGTGGAGTGGGGGGGGGTTGCCCAGAGCAGGGGGGCTGCCCAGCTGCACCCCCGAAGGGTGCGGTGCAGGATGTCCCGGCTCCTCCCACAGGATCATGGGGCTCTACGTCTCCATCGTGCTGGTGATCGGGAAGTTCGTGCGGGGTTTCTTCAGCGAGATCTCGCACTCCATCATGTTCGAGGAGCTGCCCTGCGTGGATCGCATCCTGAAGCTGTGCCAGGACATCTTCCTGGTGCGGGAGACGGGCGAGCTGGAGCTGGAGGAAGAGCTCTATGCCAAGCTCATCTTCCTTTACCGCTCCCCCGAGACCATGATCAAGTGGACGCGGGAGAAGGAGTAAGGGGCTCCGGGCCCACCCCCCATCCTGGGGACATCACCGCCAATGCCTTAACCAGCCCCCTTCCACCCCACCCCACAAGCTGGGGCCACATCCTGCCGGGGGAGGCAGTGGGTGCTCAGCACTCGCTTTTAGGAAGGATGTTTTCTTTTTTTGTCCTCTTAACGTTGCTTTGAAGCCGTCCGACTTGCAGAGACCATCTTGTGCCTTCCTGGGGCGAGGGGCTGGGGAGCAGAAGCTGCCCCCCCCCACCACCTGCTGGGCACCCCTGGCTGGCAGGAAGAGGTGGGGGGTCAGGAGCTGTTCTGTGCCCCCCTCCCTGCTCTCCCCAGCCCTGTTCCAGAACCAGGTTGAACTCAAAAGCAATAGCCCCTCAGCCCCAGGATGGGGGGCCCTGGGTCCTGGCCCCTTCCTGCCAAGCTTGGGGGGGGCTGGCAGCCCCAGCTGGACTCTAGACACTTGTGACTTTGGTTTTGTTGTTCTAGGGAGTGTTTTTTTTGGTCGTTGTTGTTTTTTTTTTTAATTTTTTTTTTTTAATTGTTAATGCAAATGTTTTATTTATACAGATATCTAATAAAACCAAGTTGAGGCCTCCCTGGCTGCTGCAGGGCTGGGGTAAGAAGGAGGAAGAGGGGTGAGACAGGGGACCTGCTGTCCTGGGGGTACCAGCACCCCTGGCTTCTGCCAAATTTGGGCTGGGGGGTTCTCCCTGCACCCCCAGCTGTAACCAAAATGAGGTGTAAAAGCAGCTGCCTGGGTGCCAATGGATCCCCAGGGGCTCTGCTGCAGTGTCTGGGGTCTGTCCCCCCCACTGTCCCCAGCCCCTTCAGCTCTTGCTGTGCTCCTTCTCCTCTGGTGGGGCCTCCTGGCTCTGCTGCTTCATCTCCTCTGTTCTGCAAGGGATGGACATGGTGTGGATGGATGGATGTGGCAGTGGGGTGCTGAGCTAGGGGGGGCAGGGGACCCCTTGTTCCCCCCTACCTGCAGATCCTGCGCTGGGCCTCAGCGCGCACATAGGGTGGCAGGGAGGGGAGGGGACCCTGCAAGAGAGGGGTAGTAGAGATGGGGACCTCCCTGTCCCCTGGGAGAGCCACCCCATCCCCTGGGAGAGCCACCCCGCTGCACCCCAAAAGCTTTACCAGCTCCTTGAAGGTGAGACGGCAGCTGTAGCACAGCAGTGGGATGAACGCAGCTTTGCTCTCAGTCCTGTGGGGACAGCGACCATCAGAGGTGCCAGCATGGTGGCCCTGCTGCCACCATGGCATCCTCCATGCCCTCAGGCTCACCCTGCTAACGGGGCACGCTGGCAGCACCCGTTCTCCACAAACTCTGGCTCATCCACGATCAGTGTGGGCTCCAGGGCCAACTCCTCCTCTGCAAGAACTGGTGGTCAGGGGTAGAACTGGGCAGGGGGAAGGTAGGAGCGGGGGGGGGTGTGCATGGCTACCCT